TTGTTCAGTACCTCGTAAAAAGAAGCCGTGAAAGATGAAACTGCCGGAATGCTTAAGTTCATGAACAACATGCATAATAGCCTCCAATAAATATCTGAGTGATAGTTCTTGTGTTAGCTTGGATAATTCATAGTAGGTACGTAAGTACCTAATAATTTATCTAATTATGCTTGATGTATATGGAGTAATTTTAGAAATAATACCTACATTTGAAATTCTAGGTTTCACCTGACTCGAATCACTTGCAGCTAATACTGAGGAGTGTTCCGCCTCTTTCAGCGGAGGGCCCAATTGACAATTTGCTATTGGCGCTTATCAAATTTTAAGTCAAGTCCAAAGATCTTTTCGGAACTTAAATTAATCACCTGGGTAGTGCTTGATGCCTATTTTCAAGGAATTGAGGGCCTTTCCAAAAAATCTAGGTACAATCCTTCCAAGTGAGCTCTCTGTTTGATCTCGCGGAACGAAGTATGCCCTCTATAAAGTTACCCGTATGCCTTCAATTTTGTTTTTAGTCCAAAGACCTTTCAGGAAGTCCAATTGCGATCTGCCGAAGGAGCTCTGGCAGGATCGCTAACCTTCAATCTGCTTTAATAACACTCATATCCGACTTCGGAACTAGAGTCCCATTATACCCAGAGTTAAGACAACTCGATTGTCAGCTGAGTTGTCTTAAGCAGATTGAAGGTTCAATCCGTGCAAAATGAATTTTAAGGGTAGCTGAGTTCAATAATTACATAGGTATCGACGGTGTAAGTCAGCAATCACATGATTCGGTTTGTGACGTCGCAAACTTCCTGTCATACTTTATTTTTAAACGGAAAAATACTCAACGGCAATTCTTTATAAAACTGTCGTGATTTTCCTTCTCCGTGCGAAGAAAATTCCGCTAAAACTTCGAGGAAGGATGTCAATTTGTTCTCCCTTGAAAAAATAACAGAGGCGAAGATTTTCAGACACCGCAAACGAGTTATAAGATTGCCGACATACACCGTCGATACACTACTACTAACAAGTCACTCTTACAGCTCTTCTATGCACTCTGCGACACCCAGCCGCCACTGATAGCGATCCTGCCAGAGCTCCTTCGGCAGATCGCAATTGGACTTCCTGAAAGGTCTTTGGACTAAAAACAAAATTGAAGGCATACGGGTAACTTTATAGAGGGCATACTTCGTTCCGCGAGATCAAACAGAGAGCTCACTTGGAAGGATTGTACCTAGATTTTTTGGAAAGGCCCTCAATTCCTTGAAAATAGGCATCAAGCACTACCCAGGTGATTAATTTAAGTTCCGAAAAGATCTTTGGACTTGACTTAAAATTTGATAAGCGCCAATAGCAAATTGTCAATTGGGCCCTCCGCTGAAAGAGGCGGAACACTCCTCAGTATTAGCTGCAAGTGATTCGAGTCAGGTGAAACCTAGAATTTCAAATGTAGGTATTATTTCTAAAATTACTCCATATACATCAAGCATAATTAGATAAATTATTAGGTACTTACGTACCTACTATGAATTATCCAAGCTAACACAAGAACTATCACTCAGATATTTATTGGAGGCTATTATGCATGTTGTTCATGAACTTAAGCATTCCGGCAGTTTCATCTTTCACGGCTTCTTTTTACGAGGTACTGAACAAGAGCACAAATATTTAATACTGCAGGAACATGATTGATTCATTTCTTATAGTGATTTCACGAAGCACGAAGCAACTATTCGTTTACTAGATTACCACACACGGGAGATGTGAAAAGTGAGCCTATGAGGTTCTGGTACGGCGCAGCGCTTCCGGCGGACGGATGATCATGAGTGGCGGTAGCCACATCCGGGCAAGTAACCTATCCTCCAACAATTGGCAACACAGCACCACCCGGTCGAGGCAACGACACCATAGCAACACGTAACTATGGCTTATTTGGGTTTTTAGTTGCGTGTTCAAAAGCTTTATAAAGCAACGGAGCGACGGAATTCAGAAATTTTGATGTCCAGAAATGCGTCTCGGTCCTGTCTAACGAACTGCAGAGTTTCAAGGAAGTTGAAGATTTATTAAAAGAGATAGTGGATCACTAGACAAGGTAAGAATTTAAGCAATCTGATACATATTTCTTAACCAAAATTTCACGTCGAACACGATTCGTACAACGGAAATTACTGAAAGAAACTTCTAACAGAGATATTAACGTTTTTATTTCACATTGGTTACGAGGAATTTGAACTGACCCGCTCACAAAAAACTCAAAGCTCTACGTGAGTCAAATCGAGCAGTATAACGGTATCAGCAAGCTTCTCAATCGAACAATGTTCATTTCCCACCGCGTGTTGTTCAAACTACAAGCAATTTGCTATAGCTGAGCCAAAGCGTCAATATTGAGGTTGCCAGATTTTTATATCGCAGAGACTGTCATGATAACGTTAAGCGCGATGTGAATCACGTAGAGTATTGCGTTTTCATGAGCTTCAACTCTTACTATTCTTTTCCTTTTTATTTATCCATTACAAATTTTTTACCTACACAAGAAATTATGAAGAAGATGAAAATGGAAACTAGGCCTAAAATATTATCAAAATAATACTTACCATTTAGGTACGTATTACTTAATATTTAAGTAATTTTCATGTACTTTATACAAAAATTTTATTTATCTATCATAACGAAATTATGACATTCACTCCTCCTGTTTTCTTCCTTTTTACTTAATTATTACCTATTTTTTACGTAAAGAGGATTTTATCAAGCAGATAAAAATGGAAACTAGGCCTCAAATTTTATGTGAACATCATTTAATTTTTATTTACAGGTTATTTACAACTCACTTAATGACGAATTTTTTTTTTTAAAATAATTTTTATATAACGCTGCTACTAGGGCTCATTGTGAAAAGAATTCTGAATATCCAATCTTAGAACTCAAAACCTCAACATTCTTTTCTCACATAGTTCTCTTTTAATTTTTGGTTCAAATCAAGCGATTTAAAGTAGCTTTACTAAAATTATATGATCCTGAATCCACGTATGCTCTAGCATTACAGCCTTTTTACTCCTTAAATTCTGCCGATATGAGTCCATTTCGGTTAAGGCTTCTCTGAGCGATACCAAGTGTTCATACATTTAAGATAAGTGAGATATGTATTTTGGTTCTTCTTTTCGAAGGTTTAAAGTAAATTACGTATTACAGTACCTTCATCCAGTTTTGTTTCCTTGTTTAATGTTTGTTAAGAGTCTTTCTACGTGAACACTCAAGGGCATACATACTTACGCTCAGGTACCTATACTACGTAACTCTAATACTTACGTAACTCTTTATGGAAATTGCATGGATTAAAAAAAAAGTTAATTTGTACACACGCTGAAGAGCGCAAGCCTGAAAAATTACCCTACACAAAAAACCTTGCGTAAGCTATTCAAGAAGGGGGTGGGGGTAAAGTCCAAGTTTGGCTCACGAGGTCTTACGAAGGAGGAGGGGAGTCGAGTCCAGTCTTACGTGAGCTTCCCACTTTAAGATAAATAAATATTTTGAATAGAAACAAAAAGTCAGCCAGTTTTCACACTATCTGGAAAATTGGGGAAGGGAGACGGAGTTCAGGGCAGTTACTTGATTCAAAAGGGGATTGAAAAGCAGTTTCACTGTTTCTTTAATAGTGGTGGAGGTATAAAAAGTCGTCCAAAAAGCCTCACGTATTACTTGAATGGCCGCCAGAACAAATTGGTGATCAGTTAAAAAATGAAGTGAAAACTGGCAATCATGGCGCTTTATAAAAGAGCATTTACATTTTAAATGACTAATTCTGGTCGTAAGTAGACGAGCAGAAGTGAATCAACCATCACTGCCATCAGGTGCCACCTAAATTGCCAGTTTACGATACACAACACAGGCGGCCGCACATCAATCCTCTTCGTTTTAGCCCTTTTCCTCCCTTAATTTTAAAGATAAACCTTTAATAACCGTAGATAAAAACTTTAATACACCAAATCGGCGCTAAAAGAACGATCCACAAATTTTACTGAAGAATATTTTTCAATCCGGGCCTTCATATGGACGTAAATACAGAAAATATCGGTCAATCGTTCTCAATTTTCAATTTCTTTCAACTTCAATCATATTAAATTATTTGGACCTTCAAAATTTTAAATTATTCAAAAAGTAGACTCAAAATTGAGCTCAAAGTTAATTCTCGCTCCGCAATGAATTTTTGGAAATAAGTCCGATTTTCAACTTCATCGGACCACTGTGCGGAATCCCCCGAGGGGATTCATGGGAACTTTTGGCTAAAAACGCACCTTTTCGTAAGTAGAATCAATTGGGTCTAAATCCAGCCGTATGCTAATTTTTGGTCGGAAACGGGTCCTATGTATATGCCTTCGTTTACTGGACTATACATGTTCTAGACGGCTTACGTCATAATGAGGGTATACCACCTGTGAAAAAAATTATAGCACTAATAGGGTAGATATACAGAGGGTATGGCCCAGTTACCCGACCTTACCTTCATGTGGATACATTTGAGCCTAAATTAAGCTTGGCAGGGGAATATGGGTTCATGCGGCCGATCGGCGGGCCTTTAAATAGTAGCACTCCTAAGCTGTAATTTGGAAAGAGAGAATTTTGTAGAAATATCTGTAATTTCTAAACTTGGCGACCCTAAGAAATCCCAAAAAAATAATTTTGCATGGTTTGAACCTTCAATCTGATTTAATAGCACTCGTATCCGATTTTGGAGCCATATAGTTCAGTGCACGAAAACCGGTCGAAGTGCTTGTAGAGGAAACTTCAATGCTTCATAACTCTCGAACCATTTGGGTTTCCAGCTGATAAGACTATTCGTTGAATTAAAAAAAAACACACAAATTTAAAAACTGGTTTTGGTTGAAATAAAAAATTGAAACGTTTGTTTATTTCTTGTTTAAATGAAATATTTTTGACTCATATACTGATGAAAGCACTGAAGTTAAATTGAAAATGTGAATTTTGGATTTTTACCCCCATAATAATGAAATGTGCAATTTTAGACTATTCTTCGTCCAAACCGGTTCTCGATTTCTATATTTGTTCGAGAAATATCGAGGTTCACAGGTTTCAACTTCCACCACCACCTCCCCCCGCGCCCTCTCGGAGGTTTGAAAATTCGTTTTTGCATCAAGCTCTCTCCTAAAAGTGGGTTTTTAAAGCAAACTAGATTGTTATATTAGTTATTAAATTTCAAAATGTTATATTCATCTGTTTTTTCAGTGATCGATTGCAGATTAAGTCATACGTACGGAATCAAAGGGGTGGATTCAGAGTCAAGAAACTGTGTATTATTCAAGTCTCAAGAGACTTAAGAGCTCTTTTATTTCTTATGGAAAGGAAAAAAAAATCTCCAATTACCTCAGGTTTGATTGCATTGATGATATGATCAACTTCCTCATCTGTGAATAAGTCTAGTATCTCACCGGATGCGAGCATATCATTTATTAGAACCAAGAATTTTTCGTCGATTATTTGCGAGTCAGTCATTAGCAGCATAATACCAATATTTTTTAAACCAGTTTTGAGGTACAGGTTAGCTAGATCGAACTGAAAGAGAAGGGAGGTAAGCCGTAAAAATCTCGAATAAATGAAACAAAGATACTAACTTAAGTTGTGTCATTTTTTTCACTCATTACCCTGCTAAAAATGACCATGTTGGTAACATGTTGAGATCATGATGTTACCAACAGGGACTAAAACGCCCATGTTGGTATCAAGATTATGTCAACATGGTATCAACGTGATATCATCTTGGGGTAAAAGACCAACATGATACCAACATGCTAGTGATGTGGAAAGTCCCAATATGATATTAACATGATTTTAAAAAAAATGTTGTTAACAACATTGCACAAATATGGTAACATGATGATATCAATTTGGACTTTCTCACCATAATGATAAAGAGTTGATGTAAAGTTAGTATCTGTTGATCCCATTGTGGGTACATACTGATATTTTTGCACTGACAAAAAAGTTTGGTGATTTTTACCGAACCCTTTGTTATACGGTTGTTCGATGGCACAAACCTAAGTATTGGGTTTTGTGAATCGAACGGCATTACGACGTCTGGAACACACGACCAACCGAGCTCTGTAAGGTTTTACCGAACTTTTAAGGTCACGGAAACCGATTATTTGGTTAATCGCACCGAACTTTCAGTATATGTATATTCGGAGAAAGTCGGAAACGTTCAATTGGCGTCTTATTATTGTATGTGTTGATCCATTGATATGCTCAAATACGATTTTCTTATTCTTGCTTTTGTGGCCTTATTAATTTTTGAAAGCCATGTTGATATTTGTTCTGTGAGTAAATTTTCCTTTAGACTTTTCTTTATCTATTTTACTTTCAAAACTCATTTGTGCATTGAATAAAATTTCATTTATATCTGCGGCTTAAAGTCAAAGAATGTTGCTCAATAAATTAAGATGGGACCAGGAAGTAATTATAAAAATCATTAAATAAAATTAAGAATTTATATTATTAATATGATAAATCATAATATAATGAATATAATATATAATTTAATAAATTATAAAAAATTATTAATAATATTATTCAGTTTTCATTAATTTATATTATTTATTTATCTTATTTAGTTTTTAATATTTTCATTTTTAATAACTTTTTATCCTTCCATATTTTATTTTATTTTTTTCATGTGTTTTTCGTATTCCTCTCTTTCAAAAACGAGATCTACTTTATATTATTGTCGTATCCTTCATTGTGAAACTGATAGATGTTCAAAATTGCAAGAATATCATTGTTCTAATCATTGAACTAGATCTGAGGACGTTTATTAGTGCTAACTTAGCCACCTCCTCCTCGCGAGCGTCCGTGGCGGAGTGGTAGCGACGCTCGGGCGATCACCGAGGCTCAGCAACGACAGGCGTAGTTAGTACTTCGATGGGTGACCGCTTGGGAACTCGGGCGCAGTGCGGCTTAATGAGTCAGTTAAGCTCGGGAGGGATTTGCCTGCAATGAGTCCAATCTTACAGTTTTCGGTACGAGAAGAACGATGCGCATGTTAAAATTTCACGAAAAATTGTAGCCGCGGAGATATAACGCTTCCTTTTTAGGGGTCCTCGAAAACGTGCTTGAACCGTCCGCCGTGAATCTCCGTATGTACGCGTCATAGAACGGGAAGATGGCGGCGCCGAAGCCGACCTGCTTACTACCGCCACGCTGCCGATGTTGACATCACGATTTCTCGTTTGAGGTTAAGTAAGTTCAGTGTGAATGTTTCATATCCTACATACATCTGTATTCTGATTGAAAAGCTTAGAGAATTAAGAACAGTGGATATGTATCTTAAACAAAGTGACCTACATAACCTCCAATTGACCAACAAAAACATACCGCCAACGCGACGCCGCCGTGTATTCTTCCATTACGCATTCCGCCGCCATATTGATCGTGACGTGTACATGCGGAACCAACGAGCATGCAGTTCAAACGCCGTTTTAGGCCACCCTAATTTTTGGCACTTTCAAATAAACTTTTCTCCCGTTTGCAGCCATCAAAAAAAATTAGGAAAAATACTGTAAGCTTCGGCCAATTACTACTTTCGAATGACACGATAAAAAAAATGACTTAACTGACTCATTCTAGTGGACATCGATTGTCGGGTTCTCAGCGTCACTTCTCTGGTGCCCGCGATGAAATTTAGGCCTAAGAACGTGCAGCGCGCCTAAATTTAAGCATTTTGGCATTTTGGAACTTTTTTTTTCAGTGTGTGATAATATATTGGTAACATGTTGATATCATGGTGATAACATGTTGATATCACGGTGATAACATGTTGATATCATGATGATAACATGTTGATATCATGATGATAACATGTTGATATCATATATGATAACAGGTTCCATTCACCCTGTTGCTACCATGTTGGGCCAGACCAACTTGTTACCAACATGGTCATTTTTAGAAGGGTTGCGCTTATTTATTTATGTCAAGTATGCATGAAACTATATCTTATAGTTTTTTTTGTAGAGCTTTTTTATTATGGTACACTTGTGGGTACCTGGTTACTTATTCAGATTCGTATGGAAGCACTTTAGTAGAAAAATGGTAAGAAAAATCTTTACCCATCTCACCGTGTTAAATAATTGTAAGTCCTTGCAATGGGTCTGTTGCACACGGGAGGGATTTGGAAAGTAATGAGCCAATTCTTACGAAAATCACGAGAAAACGGTTGGAGTGGGCAATAACACTCTTTGTTTTATATTAAAGCTGCAAAAGCTAAATAAAGTTCAAAGTTCCAACGGAGACCTCTGATTGGTAGCCTACGGTACAACCAGCATGCTTATTTCCCGCCGTTCCGATACACCTGTGTTTCCCTTTGAGGAAACCAAAGTCGTTTTTTTAAAGCGAGTCTGGGTCAATTTTTAACTTATTTTACCAAAGTTTCTTGCAGATGTCAGTTCTTTATATCCTCAGCTTTATAACTTCATAAACAAATGTGTTAAAATCGCATCATAAAGCTTAATACATCCAACGAAGTCCCAAAAATGTTGTCATGTCTTCCTTTAGGGGTTTTTGCTGGTCAAAATAATGCTATTTGCACGTTTTTGCTCAGATACATAAACGCAAGTATTGGATATATTGTGTAAAACAAAGTTTGTTTTCTTTATTTGACTCTTAATGATGACTTACTGTCCCAGTATTTAAGTGCATACAGGGTGTAACAATAGTCCGTCCCACCCCTACTAACTTTTGAACGAATTGAGCCAGGAAAATGAAACTTTGGGAATGTTCTTATCTCAAAGGGGACCGTCTGAACGGGGGGGGGGGCCAAAATTTTGGTCAGGAGGGACGGGGGCCCCCAAACTTTTTTTTCAAAAAGCAACCCCTATCTTGTGATACCTCATTCGAAAGAGCATAAAAAAACTAAGAATTTTGGCGCAAACCGCACATCAATATCTTAATTTTTTAACTAATTATGAAAGGTCAAAGGTCAAAGACCTATTTTCAAAAAATCATAACTCCAGTTCAAATTATTGTAAAGAAAAAAATAAAACGAGAAAATTTACCAAATTGTGTCCGCTTTTAATTAAAAATTGCAGAAATCACTTCGATTTAATTTTAAGGGGAGTTCGGACCCCCAAATACGTCATTTCTTAGGTCATTCAATTTTCCCGCGAAATCAGCCAATTTCCCCTAGATTTGCCTCCTCATTATCTCAGTAAGGTCATATTAGTTCAACATTACGTTGGTAAGTCCCCAAATTTTGGGAAAAGTTAAAAAAAAACGAAATTTAAGGTGATTAAATTTGACCGTTTAAATTTCGTTTTTTTTTTTAACTTTTCCCGAAATTTGGAGACTTGCCATCGTAATGTTGAACTGATTTGACCTTACTGAGATAATGTGGAGGCAAATCTAGGGGAAATTGGCTGATTTCGCGGGAAAATTGAATGACCTTGGAATTGACGTATTTGGGGGTCCGAACCCCCCCCCCTTAAAATAAAATCGAAGTGATTTCTGCAATTTTTACTTAAAAGCGGACACAATTTGGTAAATTTTCCCGTTTTATTTTTTTCTACGATAATTTGAACCAGAGTTATGATTTTTAAAAAATAGGTCAAATTTGACCTTTGACCTCCCATAATTAGGTCAAAAATTATGATATCGATCTGCGGTTTGCGCCAAAATTCTTAGTTTTTTATGCTCTATCGAATGAGGTATCACAAGATAAGGGTTGCTTTTTGAAAAAAAAAGTTGGGGCCCTCGTCCCCCCCCTTG